AACTCAGTTTAGTCCCTGAGCTTTGAAGTTAAAATCAAATTCATTCTTGTGTTTTTTATTTTGTTTAATGTCATCCTTAAAATATAATTTTACCGTCAAAACCAATCATTTTCACACAATGCCTACACTACCCCTTGCAAAACCCGAGGGACTAAAATGAAATTCAACCCTCATTCCCATTTTTAGTTTTTTACTAAATACCTGAAATCAATTTTTTTATTGGGATTATTTCACAAACACCCCTAATTAAGAGAGGTCCAATATTTTTTTTCCTTTTTTAAGATAAATCCAAAATATTATTGAATTAATCATAAATAATTTAATTCACTATTATACCATTTACCTAACCCCATAACTCACGTTGTTATTATTTTCTTTTTTTCTTCAGATTTCTTCTCCCTCTCTTCTTTTAACAGTAGCCGCCTCTCTTCCTCCACGTTAGTTGCGATCTCTTCTCCAAATCTCGGCCCTCTTCGCCGAGGGTGAGAGATCCCGCTCCACCGCCTCCCCATCATCACCCCCTCTGCCTGCCTCCTCGTCATCCACCCCATCAACCGTCGCCGCTCGTTCATCTTAGTTCACGTCGACGTACTCGTAGTTCCCCGACGGAATCCGGCCGCTTTTCTCCCACTTCGATTTGCAGATGCTTGTAATAAAATTCGTCAGAAAATGTTAGAATTTAGGTTTAATATATATTTTAATCAAAAAATTGGATATCATAACCAATTAAGAAAGAAGCTCACCGGCATCCAAGCCACCGCTGCGCAACCGAGCCATCAGCCGCCGTTTAAAATCCGACGACGAGTAATTGTCGCCACCGGCGACTTTTGCCAATGCCTCCTCCACCTCAACATGAATGCTGCTTCTGACAGCATCGTTTTGGTCGCAATTGAACAATTTCTTCAGAGAATCTTCAAGTTCAAAATCCGGAGAGTTGTTTTGATCTGATTCGTCGTCGTCGTCAATTTCTGGCTGATTTGACATAATTTTTTTTGTGTAACTATTTTATTAACATTCTAAGGAAGAATGTGAGTATCTGATAAATCTTGCCAGACCCCACATGGTAAAATCGACAGTGGTTGATAGCAAGACCGGCAAGATTAAAGATAGCAGGTTTGTTGCTTTGATCTATCTCCAATTCTAGTGTTTCTGGTCTTTTTTTTTTCAGCACAGTCTTCAATTGAACAATTTCTCTGATTTCCCTCTCAAAGAAGGAATTGACGAGATCGGACAATTCCGCGGAGGAATGCTCGCTGCTGCTGCTCTCGTATGACCTAACCCTAGACATCTCATCGAAGGCCGCCGCCATCCTTTTGAACCTCACCGGAATATTCACCATTTTCCCCCGCCGATTAATTCTGAATTTTTTATTTCCTTCTTCCTCTTTTTGAAAATATCTTTATCATGGTCTGAGATTTTCTTTTCTCCTATTTTCCGTTAAATTTATTTTAAATTCTTCAAATTGAAAGATGAAATTGATGATGCCAACAGCTGTTTGGGGTTTAGAGAGATGGTGTCGTACATAACATAGATATGTGCATTAGTTTGGTCTTCTGTTGGATTATTGTAATGATTTAGTTTCTTCTTCTTCTTTTTTTTAACGATTGATTTTTGTTCTTTTAATTTTGGTAATGTTTTTGTTCTTGATGATTTTTTGATGAAATTGCTGATGGGAGGAAGAAGATGATGATTTTTTCAAATAGTGGTTTACGTTTCAAATAACGAGAAGAAGATGATTACACGGACTATGCTCTAGGGTTCATTGGAGAGAAATTGTGTCCTTTATAGTGGTTTTATATCTTCTTTTTCGCAGAATATTTGATATTTTCTTGTTAGAATTTATAGTGATTTTCGATGTTTATATTGTTGTGTATATAAAGTGGTTTTCATGTTTATATAGTTGTTTTATACAGAGTGGTTTTCATGTTCATATAGCTGTTTATACGGAGTGGTTTTCATAATGTCAGGCTTTGTCTTTGATAAATTTATAGTGGTTTTCAACAATTTTATAGTGGTTATATAACTGTATATACGGAGTAGTTTTTATGTTGACATAGTTGTTATACAGAGTGGTTTTCAAGTTTACATAGTCATTATACATAGTGGTTTTCATGTTATATAGTTGTTATACAGAGTGGTTTTCATGTTTATATAGCTGTTTATACAGAGTGGTTTTCATGATTATATAGAGTGGTTTTTATTTAAAAAATCTGGTAAGAAAAAAAAAACCATTTTAAAAAAAATGAAATTAAAAAAAAAAAAAAAAGAAAAAGCATGAAAAAACGAAAATAAAAATAAAACCATTTTTTTTAAATTAAAATAAAAAACTTGAAAAACATAAATAAGAAAAAAAATTTAAAATAAAAAACTGAAAAAAAAATAATTACAAAATTTTCTTTTAAAAATCGAAATAAAGAAAACCATTAAACAAAATAAAAAAGAAAAGGAAAAAAAAAACTGAATTGGCGTGATGAGGGGAATATTTTTTGGAGAAAATTTGGGTGTAGATTATGGGTATAATTTTTTTAAAATTAAATAATTATACTAATTAATAGTTAATGGGGGCATATATGATTTTTCAGGCCCATTGGATTTATTTCAAATATCATTTATAAAGAAAGGATTTATCAAGAATTAAAATATCAATGAAGGGTGTTTGGCATATAGCCCCTTTTTTATTTAATAACATTTTCAAGATCTTAAAACTTATTTTCTCTTGTTAATCCAAACAATATAAAAAACACACACATATATTATTTTATTTTTTCAAATTCTTGTTGCAAATTATTTTTTCCAAACCTTTAAATATAAATTAACTGCTAAAGTAAAAGTTATTTCTTCTAAAAATACAAATAAAATATATTATTTAAATACTATTTTACAAAAGGATTTTTCCAGAATTTAATAAAACTATTTCTTTTTTGTATAGGGTATTGGTCCCGTTAGATTTTAACTTGAAAAAAAATTATATTTTGACCATCTTTGAAAATTGAAAAACTTCATGCAATATTAAAAGCTGCTCAATACATCTTTGATATGCGGATTTTCCGATATTTAAAAAATAATCCTCTACGAAGAGCTAATGAATGTGGTTTGAGAAAAACAAAATTAATGCAAAGTACAATTTTACACGACGAAACTCCTTTCTCATTGATAATTTTCGGTGTAGTCGAAAACAAAACTAAAAAATAATTGTCAATTTCCAACAAAAAATTGAGCAACAAATTTGACATGAAAAAAAATATAGAGATACATTCGTAACATCCATTTATACATAATTGTTTTTGGAATTTTTCCCATACAAAATTAATGCAAAGTACAATTTTACACGACGAAATTCCTTTGTCAGTGATAATTTTTAGTGTAGTTGAAAACAAAACCAAATAATAATTGTCAATTTCTAACAAAAAATATGAGCAGCAAATTTGACATGAGAAAAAATATAGAGATAATTTCGTAACATCCATTTATACATATTATTTTGGGAATTTTGTTCCCATAAGTTCTTGAAAATATTTTTAAATATAACTTTAATTCGATATATTCTATAGATAGAAAAGGGACATTCGGGCTGAATTTCATTTTAGTCCCCAGGTTTTAAAGAGGTAATGTAGATATTTTGGGGAAACAAACGAATTTTGGCAATGAAATTGTGCTCCAAGGATGACATCGAACCCAATAAAAACTACATGGATGAATTTGATTTTGACTGCAAAACTCAGGAACTAATATGAATTTTACCCCTCCATCAACCTTTTCCGGCACCAATAGGATTTGTTCGACCCTACACCCTGTGATAAACACCGGGTGAATCTTCTGCTGCCACGTGTTTTTTTTTTGTATTTTATAATATATTCTCCGCTAGGGGTTTTAGAAAGAAAAAAAAAGGACACGTGGCAGCAGAAGACCCACCCGGTATTTATCACCAGGTGTAGGGTCGAAGGAGCCCACCAATAGACTTAGGCCTGGAGAGATTAACTTTTTTTTTTTTTTGAGCAAGGAGAGATTAACTAAATATAGTAAAATTTTCTTTAATATTTGGTTAATCCTATAATTTTCCGGGTCGATCCACTATCATTACTGATATGCATAATTGGCCAACCCAATGGGCCTACAAATTACTTATCTACTGGGCCACGAGCCCAATATCGAAGACCACTATCACCGAGACCCAATCACCTTCAAGTAAGGTTTGGGCCAGACAATCTCAACTAAGCTATAAATAAAGGTTTGAACTCATTCCTTAGGGTACGTCCTATTAACTGAGCAATACTATCAACTGTATTCTCTGGACTATTTCTATGATCAGCACGTATGACTTGAGCGTCGGAGGGTTTTCCGCCGGATCAACCCCCGGCCTAGTTTATGTGTTCTATGATCGCAGGTACCTCAGGATCATCAAGTTGTCAAGTTACTGATCTGCTTTGCTCTCCCAGTTCATTTTCTACACCACCCTAGGTGAGCTATATTTTAGCATCATCATTTTGGCGCCATCTTTAATAATATCTTTGCCTGCCTTAGGCCCAAATTCCGCAGAAGGTTGAACGATGTCGTTTCGAAAACAACACAATATCCCCAATTAAATCGGTTCTATCTTATCAGCCCTAATTCGATTTCGAAAAGTACGTTTCCCCTTTTTTCCCAAAATTCAATTTTTCAAATCAACATCGGATATGACAGCATATGAAATTGGAAACATTGCAGGCAATCATATTTCTTTCTGATGGAGGGTGTTCAGCTTCGCATCTCTTATAGGTGTAATCTGGTTTTTCATGTGTGCTCCAAAATGTGACCTATTTTTGGTCGGCCTTGGTACTTGAGATTTTTTACCGTTTTACGTACGGAAATGTGATTGGTAATTCCGAATAATTAGTTGTTGATCGCGCAATTTTTTTAGTTTTCTTAATAGGTGTGCACTGGCTCGAAAACGAAAATTAAAATCGGCAGGATGGATTATTTTGGTTGCTAAACTCGTCGTCCTTTTTATTAGGTTTTGAGAGATGCCCGATGGAGTGAGCAGGATGCTTCGATCCTCGTGCCGGGTGACATCATCAGCATCAAGCTCGGTGACATCATCCCAGCCGACGCTCGCCTTCTAGAAGGCGACCCCTTGAAAGTTGACTAGTCAGCATTGAACGGAGAATCTCTCCCCGTCACAAAGAGCCCGTCCGACGAGGTCTTCTCCGGGTCCACATGCAAGCAAGGCGAGATCGAAGCAGTCGTCATAGCAACCGGGGTCCACACTTTCTTCGGCAAGGCAGCCCATCTAGTGGACAGCACGAACCAGGTCGGACACTTCCAGAAGGTTCTGACAGCAATCGGAAACTTCTGCATATGCTCGATCTTCGTCGGAATAATCATCGAATTAATCGTGATGTACGCTATACAGCACCGTAAGTATAGGGACGGAATTGACAATCTGCTTGTTCTGTTGATCGGAGGGATCCCGATTGCTATGCCGACCGTTTTGTCTGTGACAATGGCGATCGGGTCACATAGGCTGAGATATGCAATTAATGAGTGAAAATAATATAATAAATTTAAGTTTTCTTAAATCGTAAATCGTAAACTTTGATCGTTTTGTTGATATTTAAGATTTATTTTAACTTTTGAAAAGACTTAGGTATGAACGAATTGAATCGTAAGATTTGAATTGTAAATCATAAGATTTTAAACACGGTATTGGGAATTTGCATAAATGAGTCCGACGCGATTATAGCTGAGGAGTAGATACTGCGTTGGTGGCGGATATTTCGGATATTGCAAGAGAGATCTACTTTGGGGATAAAATTGCAATTGGGTTGGAGCGGCTGGGAAGATGAAGGAAGTATAGGGGTGATTCTGCAATTTTTAAAACTATTACAGTCAGGGAGGTGAATTTCCAAAAATTACAAATTGACCCCCACTTGTGGTGCATTTATAGTTGAAGGACCAGAATTAAAATATATATATATATATATATATATACTAGGTGAGCCACACCGCGTCACACACGGTCCATATTGCCCCAACTAAGATGACATTCGGAATCTCATCATAAAATTGTGTTAACATAAATAATTAGCACAATTTGTCCACAACATTCCATTCAGTAAAAAGATTAATAATAATAAAAATAAAATAAAAGAATAATAAAAGAAATTTCCACAGCAAAATATTTATTGTTAACCAAACATTAGGATTACATAAGATGATCGATCTATCCAACCATATCTTGAAGTTCTGGTGAAATCCCAACGATTTACATTTTCATGAGCTTCGGCCAACGAGCATTCTAAGAAGCCGATGAAAAAAATTGAACTTCTATGCAGCTTATAAAACTGAAATAATCACAGGTAAATAGCTCAAAAGAAAATGATTGTAAATGACAATACTTATACACTCGTAAGTTAAATTGTTCATCAATGGATTTTTCACCACAACTTGATGCTTCTTCACGCATAGAGGTGGCTACGGCTTTCATTTCAACTGAATCACAATCTTGAAAATGTTGAATATAAAGTGGATAGATATATGGACTGAAACATAGAGTTTAAAAAAAAAAAAAAAAAAAAAAAAAAAAAAAAAAGGCTGCAGTAAATCTGTTCTGAAACTGCAAAGTCTTTTTTCTTTTGAGAAAGAAAACTGCATATATAGTCAAACATAGAAAAATAAAGAATTGATGTTCACATGGAACGGAATCTACCAATTCCTTAAACAAAATATCCAAAGAAAATGAAATTTAAATACCTTGATTTGTATTTGGAAGTCAGCAAAATATATTGCAGGGCTAGGTCGGCTTTTTCCGCAAGTTGTATTAGCTACCATAGTATTCTTTATTTTCTTGCTTGCTTCTCAGAACATGTAGCTACAAATTAGACGTGACCTGTCTATCAAAGAAGAAAACAAAATAGGTTAATTTTATTACATAATTTCAGCATGTGACTTTAAATGTAAGAAACCGATCGAGCACATGTATTTGTCTGAGTGGATATAAAAAAATTACAACTTAAAATAAATTTCTGACTCTGTTTTTTCTGGAGAGACGGACAAGATAATCCGATGATGGTGTTTTGATAACACGGGAAAAAGTAATACAAACAACATAAAGTATAACTCCAACAAACATCAACCAACTCCAACATAACCTGTGTCGTAATACAAAACAACACTCATAACAAGCAAGCAACTTACAGAGTTAGGTCCTAATATGAATAACCCTCATAACAAGCAAACATGGATAGTTGGATAGTACTAACTGAAAGTATAAAGAACTATCCTTATACTTTCAGTTTGTAACTGATAGCAAGAAATAGTTATGTAACTATTTGACAGCCTGGGCAAAAAAAAATGCAGAATAAAAACAATATCACCATCCTTTAACATGATTGCTTCCTTGTATTCCACATCTTGATTTCATTACAGGGAATCAAAAGTACGTATTCAACCTAAAAGGTAAAACCAAACTTCAATCTTTCCAATTAGACAAGTACTTACTTGCAAAACACGAGGGTTTGATACCGGTAGTAATAGTATAGAGTTTTGCTGAAAATTTACACCCAAAAACTCACTCCTAATAGCAGTTCAAACTTAGGAATGTCGCCTGCACCACGCGTTCAAAAACATGTGTGGGTTAAAGAAATAAAACCACCAAAAAAACAAAGAACATGCATAATAAACATCATAATCCAAAATCAAGATATAAACCAACATCTTCTACGAAATAAGAAGCATAAAAGTATGAGAACAACAATAAATGACTAACCCTAGCCTGCAGAGATGGCACGAACGTCTGCAAAGAAAAAATTAGTACAAAACTATGAAACATTTAAGAGATTATTAACTCAGAGAATACTTGAAATACATACCTTAAGTAAATAAAGAAAAACGAAAGATCCAGGAAATTGAATCTAAAGTTTGAGATATAAGCAAACTGGTTGGGGACGAAGAATATTATTAACCTAAACCTACTGATTAAGTAGGAAGCTACATACGTCAAATTGGATTGACAGAATAAAGCACAGGACTGCACTGCAGAGTGCAGAAAGCAGAACCGTCAAACAAGGGGCTGAAGAGTTGTAAAAAAAGGAGAAAAAAAAAAAATGGAATTGAAAAGCAAAACAAATGGGCCCACACTTTTGGTCCGACCAAAAATAAGAGAATAAATGAAACTGAAAAATAAATGACATTAACGCTTGGCATTCAATTTTTTAACATTAAACGACGTCGTTTTGTGCAATTTTTTATTTTACAAAATGGAAAAACAAATGATAGTGCACTATTCACATTTTCCTACATCTTTATAAGTTTATAATATATATATATATATATATATATATATATATATATATATTAAATCGAATATTTATTTTATTTTCTATTATTTATTGAAATTGAAATATATTTAATTTTTGAGTTTCAAACATGGTAATATTTGAGTTTAAAACATGGTAATTTCGCAAATCAAGGTAAATTAAGCGGAAAAGAAAACGTCTCCTATTTTCCTTCTATTTTTTCTTTTATTATTATTATTATTACTATTAATATTAATATTTTTATTTTTTATGAAGAAGAAAACGACTCGTATTAGGAAACAAATTCCCCTCCCGTTGGACTAATAAATATATATATATAATATATGTAGTATACATACATACAATATACATACAGACGTTCATAAAAACCTATATAAACCCTGCAGTACTTGTGTTCGTCTTTGCTTCCCAACAAAACGTCCGTAGCTGAGAATTCCAATTCCCCCAACCATGGTATGTGTAAATTATTTTATTTTCTGTTGTTTAATTTGATGGATGTGATTTTAGTTAGGCGTATTTTTTAAAATAATTGTGATTTTTGAGTGCCGCAGACGAAATCGAAAAAGCTTAGAAAGAATAATGTAGAGGCCATGGAAGAAGGATGGGCTATTATGGAAGACGGCATCGCTAAAGTGAAGAACATTCTGGAAGAACTGGAATCGCAATTCAGTTCGGAAGAGTATATGAGGCTTTACACGTATCCTTCACGAATATTTTATAAAATTTATTATGTGTTTTTTTGTTTATTTTCGTAATCGGAGTTTGGGGAATTTTGTGTACAAGAAAAACGGTATGCGTTTGTGTGTATATATATATATATATATATATATATATATATATATGGTTTGTCCTTGACATGAAACAAAGCACTATGTTCAACCTGGCCGGCCGTAATAACATTGATGATGATTATATTTGTCAGCAGCTCTACAACAACTACAAGGAATCTGTTCAGGCGTATATCATGTCAACGGTACTTAATCTAAGTCGATTAAGTAATTATGCCATGGTTGCCAATCTATTATTTTTTTTTTTTTTTTTTTTTCGAGATAATATATTCGATGTTTTGTTTATCAGGTCAATCCTTCTTTGCGAGACAAGCACGACGAATTCATGTTGAGGGAGCTTGTAAGACGATGGAGTGACCATAAAGTAATGGTCAAGTGGCTTTCACGTTTCTTATCCTATCTCGACCGTTATTTTGTAGTTAGGAAGAAAATTGAAAGTGTTAAAGATCATGGGTTCAGCTGTTTTCGTGACATGGTTGGTTTTTTCTCTCCCTATGATTCTGCTTCTTTTTTCTTATTTTTTTGGCATTTGTTAATTCGGTTTTTGAAATCTGGATGATAGGCTTACGGAGAGGTGAAACACAAAGCCAAAGATGCCGTCATTGCATTGGTGAGGCTTTTTTTTTTTTTGGGTTTTCGATGTGCAATGTGTATGTTTATATTTTGCATTACAATGTCGGGATCGGGATTTGAGATAACCATGCTCGTAATACAGGTTAATAAAGAGCGCGAAGGAGGGCAGATTGACAGGGCTTTATTGAAGAATGTGCTTGATGTGTTTGTCGAAATGGGGAAGGGAAAAATTGAATTCTACACAGATGATTTTGAAGATGCTATGCTTAAGGACACAGCTCATTACTATTCTCGAAAAGCATCACAATGGATATTTCAAGATTCTTGTCCTGATTACATGCTAAAGGTAACATATCACATCTTTAACTCTGTTTTTTAACGATGAAAAATACTACCATTTTCAGTTGTTTTATTAACCAAGTATTACATAAATAAAAGGTGGAGGAGTGCTTGAAAACGGAAAAGAATCGGGTTTCTCATTACTTGCATTCAAGCAGTGAGACAAAGCTTTTGGAGCAAGTTGAAAATGAGTTGTTGGTAGTATATGCAAATCAATTGTTGGAGAAGGAGACTGGATGCCGTGCTTTGCTCAGAGATGATAAGGTCGACGAGCTTTCAAGAATGTACAGGCTATTCCACAATATACCCAAGGGATTGGAAGAAGTTGCCAAAATTTTCAAGGAGGTTCGTATATTCCAATAATTTACGTGATATTTGTTTTTTTGAAAAAAAAATGCTTTTTGTAAATATGCCAACGCTTATGAGGGTTTGCTTGGTGTAGCATGTCCATTCTGAAGGTTTGATGGCAATCCAGATGATTGAAGATGCTACCTTTAACAAGGTATGCTGATTTTGTTTGCGACGAAATATTATGCTTTTCGTTTGAACACATTATGTCGTATTGTTGTTGTAATTGATTCTAACGGGAATTTTGGTGGTTGTGCAGACGGAGAAAGCTGGTGGAGCACGCGGGGAGCATGTATATTTCTTTACCATGTGCTGATTGGATATACTTTTCTTTCTTACGTTCGGCTGTTTTTATCTGATTTTGCTTTTAATGCAGGCACTTATGACAACATTCATCGAGCTTCACAACAAGTATTCTGCGTACACGACTGGTTGCTTTTGCAACAACGCCGTTTTACACAAGGTAATATATATGAGTTCGAAGTTCAGAATTGCCGATTCATTTAATTCTGCTCGATTATGTTACTTATTATTTGAAAATTTGGATTTTGATCATATGATATAGGCACTCAAGCAAGCTTTTGAGTCCTTTTGCAATCAAGTTGTTTGTGGCACCTCAAATGCGGATCATTTGGCTTCGTACTGCGATTATATTCTCAAGAAGGGTGGAAGTGAAAAGATAAGTGACGAAGCTATCGATGAAAGTATGGATAAGATTGTGAAGCTCCTTGCTTACATCAGCGACAAAGACCTTTTTGCCGAGTTCTCCAGGAAGAAGCTATCACGTCGTCTTCTCTTTGATAGAAATGTTAATGATGACCATGAAAGACTTTTTTTGACAAAGTTGAAGCAGCAGTGTGGCGGTCAGTGTACTTCAAAGATGGAGGGAATGGTCAGTGTCCAACGAAAGAATTATTATTATTTTTTTATTTATTTGTTAACTAAAAAACATTTCTCGATTGTTTAAATTTTTTAGGTTACGGATTTAGCATTGGCAAAGGAAAACCAGAATCAGTTTCATGAGTACCTTATCAATAATAATGCTGCAATTCCTGGGATGGATCTAACCGTCAATGTTCTCACTACCGGATTTTGGCCGACTTATAAAACTTGTGATTTGCGCCTTCCGGCAGAAATGGTTTGACCCTTTTTTCTTTGGTTAATAACCGATTTTTTCGACTATGTTTATGCATGGATTAACCGAGTCTTTTTTTACTTTTTTCTCCTGCTACTTTCTGTTTCAGGTGAAGTGCGTTCAGGTTTTCAAGGAACATTACGAAGCGAAAACGAAACATAGGAAGCTTACATGGATTTATTCTTTGGGAACATGCAGCATAAACGGCAAATTTGATTCGAAAACGATCGAGCTAGTAGTAGGGACTTACCAGGTTAATATAATACTCTCTTGTGAATTAATCAACACATCAATCAACCTGTCTAAACGTTATCCAAGAAAAATGGATGCCTAATTGCATTTTTTTTTTTTGAATTATCAGGGGGCTGTGTTGCTGCTATTTAATGATGCCCAGAGATTGAGCTATTCGGATATCAAGACTCAATTAAATTTTGAGGACGACGATTTAATGAGAGTGCTTCACTCGCTTTCTTGCAGCAAGTACAAGATTTTAAAGAAGGATCCCGATTCTAAATTCGTCTCGCCAAATGATTATTTCGAGTTCAACTCCAAGTTTACTGACAAAATGAGGAGGATCAGGGTATGTTTAGCAGTTTTCTTTAATGTCTTCATTTATTATCTCCTTAAAATAAAATAAAAATAAAAAAAATTTATGGGCTAAAATCTTTTCGTGTTTGATGTTTCAGATACCTCTGCCCGTAGTGGACGATAGGAAAAAGGTGATTCAAGATGTCGACAATGACAGGCGTTATTCAATTGACGCTGCACTTGTGCGTATAATGAAAGGCCGTAAAATTTTAGGCCATCAACAACTAATCCTTGAGTGTGTCGAAATGTTGAGCCACATGTTCAAAGTATGTACTTCCCTTCTTTATTTTTTTTTCTAAACAAAGGCATTTTTGCTTTTCCTCTATTAAAATTAAGTTTGGAATTTGTTACTGATATGTTATACTTTTATTGCAGCCTGATGTTAAAGTAATCAAAAAGAGGATTGAAGATCTGCTAGCAAGAGATTACTTGGAAAGAGATGCAGAAAACCCCAACCTATACAAGTATGTAGCTTGACAAGTATTAGCTCGGGTATTTCGAAGAGTATATTAACATAAATTAGAATTCGTTTTGGTCGATTATATAAACATGATAAGAATAGATCAGTAGACATTTCGTAATCTTTTTGCAACAGTACAGTTATAGAGTTTCCAGAAAAAATGATTGAAAAATTAATGAGAGTTTTTTTTACAAGAATAAAGTTACAACATTTTTAAAAAATTTACAAAAAATCACAGGAAACAAACATGCTATGCATATGTTCCGAAAAAAGAACCAGAAACGAGACGTCCCAAACTATTTTCAGAAGAAGAAAAAAATCGAAAATTTACCTATTATATATTCTGCGAAACTCAACATACATCTCATGTTACTCAGCACCTGCACCAAGAATCCAGAATCATTAATCATTCAGTGTGGTTTTTTTTTTTTAACTGAAAAATGAGAAATAAGAAATGGC